AGGCAGGAGTAGCCGGTGCGAGCCTGTGCCGGGAGGCCTCTCGGTGCCGCAGAAGAGCTTTCTGCAGCACCATCGTGTTTCGAGACCCTTTTTCGAAATAGTTTAGAACTTAACTGATTTGGCCCATAGTTATCAGTCACTGCCAGCAGTATCTACTCACGGATGCAAAAATCCTTAAGCATCAGCTGTCACATTTTTGGAGGGTGTGCTTTTCTGTCATTTTATTCCCCTATCTCTGATGCAGCCATCATACCCATACTCTTTAATGCAAAGTTGTTTGCAGTAAATGATACCATTTCAGTTATAATGCTTCATATGCTTGCTCTGTTAACTTTCTGGTTGTGTTGTGCTTGAGAATCAATGTTTCTGTGAAGCGTGAGTGTCTTAGTGCCACTTTAGTGGGACTTTAAGACTTCAGTAGTGAGGAAAGCAACTGTAGTAATTCAGGTTTCCTTTGCAGTCTGGTCAGATTGCAAAATGCACAATATTGCTGTCTGTTACCGTTTTTCTGAATCATGGTCTCTACAGGTCCTGCTGTATTCCTTAGCTGAAATTGTGAAACCAAAGTTTTCAAGCATCTTTTTGATGAAGAATTGGTAGAGGATGTGCTGATACGTAGCTGTCCTATATGTCCAGTCACAAGTTGTATTAAAACAGTATGAAGGAGCATGTACTTGATGGAGCGTTCTTCACTAGTGTTTGAAGCTTGCAGGGTGAAACTTCAGGTTGAGTAGACAGCTGAATTGAGTAGTACTGTGCTTGTACAGAGCTCTTGCTTGGGAACATTTACTTGTGTTTAACTTGGTGGAACAGGACTGTAACTGTCAAACTGCATCTTTAGCTGCTTGTTATTGCTAATTCTTCTAAAGTATATGACGTTATGTATGTTGGGGCAGGCTCACTTAAATTGCAAGAAACAGTGGAAGGAAGAAAAGGTTGTGCTGAGATCAGTTAAGCAGGAACACTGAAAGAGTCTAATCTGGTAACAGACCTGAGTGGATGCTGCCAAATGGCAGGTTACTTTTTAGCTGGAGATTAGCAAGACTGTCAGAGATGTTTGATAGGCTGCTGCGAGTGAAATGTTGCATTCATGTGTGTTTATTAGCAGGAAACTAACACGGAGTGAGACTCTGTGTGAGAGGGAAGTGTCAGACAATTGGGTTTTGGAAAGACTGGTTTGAGTTGACGAGTATAAATGTGTACCACAGGCTACAAACAGTTTAAATTTAGGCATGTTCTAGTAATTCTAGGCATAGGTAGGCAAAAATGGAGTGACAGTGGAAGAACACTTCTTTTCTGTAGTTCTTGGGTTACAACAGAGTGATCTCTTGGTCTGGATGATAAGCTGTAAAGGCAGGGGATTGCTTACTAAACCATGATATAGAAGGCTTTCAGCCTACCTTAGATCTGTTCAGAAAAGAGTATTTCTTCAGTGCTTCTGTGTTTCCTGAATGTTTCACTTTGTGAGCCCTGACTGACATTGAATCCATGCCGTCTTGCCTGCCGACTGATAAAATTGTGTAGCTGCTTGTATAGTAGAGAATCCTTGCAGCACATCATTGTGGTGATTTTTTGGTAGAATCTGTGGTTTTGTTCACTGCTTACAGAATTTTAGCTTTGTTTAAAGTAACTGTTTCCTAAATAACCATAGTACGGATAAACAAGCATGCCACATACCAAGAGTTGCACAATGTGTTGCTTTAGCTATCTTACAGTAAGTATTTTGAGATGGCTTGTAATCGACTCCTAATTCCTTTGCACTTCTCAATACTTTGACATACAGGAGGGAGTTGTGAGTAGGGTGTATGTGTTTGTGATCTGAACATTTTTGGTGTCCAGCAAGTTTTGTTTCCCTAAGTAAGAGGATAGGAGACAATTGTGAGAAAGATTTAACTAACAACAGTACATCCAGTTGTGTCTTCTTGTTTTTCATTGAGAGCCAAAGCATGCTAGCTAAATTGATAATTCAAGACGTGGAAAAACAACATCATTTTAATCACGATTGCTGGCAGCTAGCATTTTGTTGTTGTTGAAATTTCCTTTTTCCTCCTGCTCTGCCCCCTCCCTCAATTTCCTTATCTGGGAAAATCTGGTAGTAAGGAGTCTGTGAATGTCAATTTATTGATGCTTTTCAAAATGTGCACAAATCTTTTCCTTTCAAACTTCAGTGAAACTATGTACCCAAAAATACAGTTTCTGAGGTTGTTTTTTGAGGTTCTGTTGTTAGACACAACATTATCTATGATCTTTCCAAATTGTCAACCACTTATTCAGAAACTGTTTTACTCCAAAGGAGTGTAAAAAACATAGCTTTATATAATGTGTGTACTGAGAAGTTGATTCACCACAATGTTGTCCAAGCAGAGATTTGTGGGTAGGATCCATTCTACTTCCATTTTGTCCTCCTGTGTTTTTTACTGGAAGAGGTATGGGACCCATAGAGATTGGGCCAAAAACTGCTGCTGTAAAAGTTAAATGTCACTGTGTGGACCAAGCTCAATGCAAATGAAGAGTTGCTGCGGCCAACATTAAGTCCATACAAGAGAAAGAGGTGGGCTTGAAGGCATGACACTGCCCGCTACCTGATGCACAGCAGCATTTTGCCCACGTAGCGTGTTCAGGGGATTCTGGAACTGGATTTTGGCCCCGCAGCTGTCATCACCGAACTATCCTGGCATACAGTTTTCTACCTGGAAGGTTGCAAGTGTGCACAAATATTTTCCCTTCAAACTGCAGTGAAACTGTCTCTCTCTTTGTCATTTTCCTGTTCTCATGGTGGGATTTGATTGAGAGGCATTGCTTGAGATATGTTCTGATGTGCAAAACTGGGTATTAGTGCAGCTGGATGCTGCATCTTTTTTCTAACAAAAGTTGTCTGTCAGAGATACATAGTTCAGCTTTACTAAATTAACCAGAGAGAAGATAGCAGCTATCCCTTCTTATTCCTTTGAACATTCTCCATTTTGTAGCTTTTCCTTAGTTCTCCTAATTTCATGTTGTACATTCCATTCACATTTTGTTTCCCTTCTTGGATGCTGGATTTTTTGTTGTTGTTGTGCCATTCCTGTGCTGGATGGCCTGAAAACTCAGCTTGCTCTGATTAATTCTCATGTTTGCTACTGCTTGTAACTTCTCACTTCTGAACGTAAAGTCAACAAAGAAGTTGGAAACACTCGTTTCTGTGGTGAAGTTGTCCTTTAACTTCTGTCTAGCCGTTGGTAAAATCTGCTGGTGATTTATATACCCTTATTTTGTTCTTCAGGAGCGGTTTCTAACTGGACCAAAATTCCACCGCCACTTTTCAAAAAAGTTGTCATTGTGCTGATCGATGCTTTGAGAGATGACTTTGTGTTTGGATCCAAAGGTAAACAGTTCATGCCATATACTACACAAGTTGTTGAAAAAGGGACATCCTACAGTTTCATTGCTGAAGCGAAGCCACCCACTGTGACTATGCCTCGAATTAAGGTAAGTGGCTTTTTTCCAGTTAGGGTTTTTTCATTCGAGAAAGTTTTGAAGGCTGGGTTGTTTCACATGCTCAGAGTTGGTGTAAAGGGCAGGTTTGCTGTTTTATTGCAATTTGTGGCTGAAACTCAGTTTGCTGTAGTAGTGCATGTGATAGAGTCCTGATTTGCCATGACCCAGTGGTGCTTTCTGCAGGAAAGGTCAGGTCAGGGATCGAAGGAAAGTAGAGAGGCTGAGTAAGAGGTAGAGGTGGCAGCTGCCACTTAAGTCACTTTGCTTTGTTTTGTTCCTTTATTCGGTAGCTTTGTGGTGGGAATGTCTGTGAGAATCAGTTAAGGGCAATTAAGGCCCTGGTACAGGCTTAAGTGATTGACATAATCTTTTCATTTGTAATCATGGGGAGGCAGTAGCCTCTCAGTTTTCAAATTTTCCAACTATCTTCTAGCCAAGAACATTTCTGTTGATATTTCTTTGTGTTCTTGTAACTTCTGATAGGAAATCCAGTTTAGTGTATATTTATTTTGCCATAGGGATGTTTTTGCAGACCTTAAAGAAAATTGTGCCAAGTTCCAGATAACTAAAAGATGAATTGTCATTGTGCCATCAAAATACTTGATCATCCAGGCTTCTCAGTGATGGATCTGGGTGACGTGTCTTTCATTGAAGAAGCTGAGGGAGTGAGCTTTGATAGGTCAGCTACAAGGCCAGTGAGAGAGTGAGGAGGAGACAGTCTGGTTACTCTTGATAGGTGGACTTCATTGCATTTTCCAGAAGATTCTTAACTATTATTTTGAATGTACTGCCATTGCAGTTGTGTTAAGTCACTTAGGCCTTCTAAACTGACTTTTTGGCAATTTAATGACCAGTAAATTAAGCTAATTTCAACTGACATACAAAGTCATTTTGCTGTCCTCTAATTAAGAAAATATTATTTTTACCTTTCTGTAAAGCAGTGACTACCTTTAAAATCAGCTGGCACTGTGTTGGGGCAGGTGATGGGATATGGCATGGAAGCTCATGTGTTCTTTTACTTTACTATGTTTCTTTATTGAAAGTATAATTTCTCTGCCCTTTGCTTCATTGCTTCCACTTACACTAATGTTGTCTTCTGAGTACTGGAAACTTCTTGGTTTCTGTTA